TATGATCATATATACATCTATTATAACTTCATAATCTCAATCGTTTGAATGACTTCTACCCGCGGGTTACAAATGAATAAAATTAAATATAATTTAAGGTTAAATATTATTTATAGTTGTTTTTATTGTTAACTAATTTTATAAAATTTATTTTCTTAATATTTTAATTTCTATCATTATAATTATTTAAAACATCAAACATTATTTTTTAATTTTAAAGGTAACAATATAATCATTTATATAGAGTTATTTTTAACTATTGTTATTATAAGTTATTTCAAGTTAGTTATTTGAAAACTTTTAACGATTATAAAAATATGATTAGAAAATATTTTAGTTAAATTGATATTACAGTTGAGTTTTTGCATTTATCACTATAATTTATCACTTTTAACTATTTACAAAATATTTTTTATTTTTTAAGTGGAACTGAAATTTATCTTTAAGTTGATATTGTAATGTTATATTTAAGTTAACAATTTAAATATTTTGTCCAAAGTGTTCAAAAGTTGTAGCTTTAAACTGATAATGATTTACATATAACATATTAAATCTAATAAATTAAGTATAATATGTTAAAAGTTAAAGACATAATTTTATAACTAAAAGTAAATATATTATTTTAAAATTGAAATTTAGTTTATATATGATTACACTTTAGGTTTGATATTTATTTAACTTTATTAACCAACTTATAACTATTATTAGAAAAACACTACAATTTATCATTTTTAACTGTTTACAAAAATATTCTTTGGGTTGTTTAAGTTAAACTAAAATTTATATTTAAGTTGGCCCTGTAATGTTATATTTAAATTAACAATTTAAGTATTTTATACAAATTGTTCCAAAATTGTATCTTTAAAATGATAATGGTTTACATCCAACAATATATTAAAACTAATAAATTAAGTATAATATGTTATAAGTTAAATAAACATAACTTTATTAGTAGAAATAAAAATATTATTTTAATATTGAAATTTAGTTTATATATGATTACATTCTAGGTTTGATATTTATTTAATCTAATTAACCAAATTATAATTATTATTATAAAGAAATTGAAAAGTCATGGGAGTTTCAAATGAATATGGTGAAAGGAAATATAGATGGGAGTTTCAAATGAATGTGGTGCAAGGAAAAATGATTCATTTATAAGTATATAATGATATATATATATATATATATCATTATATACTTACCCGCCACTACTCGCCACCACCACCCGCCTTCACTACCCGCCTCTACTACCCACCCCACCACCCTCACCACCACCACCACCCATCACCACCACCCGCCACCATCACCTCCACCCACCACCCACCAAAACCTCTAACCACCGAAAAATAACGACCACCACACATCACCACCACCTACCTTCACCACCCGCTACCACCACCCCACCTATCACCTACCAAAACCACCATACACCATCACCACCAACTGCTACCCACTCACCCACCACCACCACCTATCATCCTCATTCGTCTCTATCACTCATCACTACCGCTCGCCACCGCTACCTAACACCCACTATAATCACCACCCTACATGTCACCCCCACCACCTACCACTTACCACCACCAAACATCACTACACACCACATCCATCCATCACCACCAAACATGATTATGTGTATATAATCATATGTGATTATTTGTATTTAATCACATATGATTTATATGGACAATATTCTTTGTTGTTCATATAAATCATGTGCTTAGATATATTTAATCACATATATCATTATTGTGTTCTCGATTCAATAATTATTTTTGTCAACTTTAATCATATGTGATTAGATACATATAATCAAATGTGATTATATGTATCCAATCACATATGTTTTACATGAACAATATTCATTTTTGAGTTTTCATTTCAATAATTTTTCTCATATATTTAATCACATGTGATTATAAGTAATTAATCACTTATGATTAATGTGGACATAAATTTGTTTTAATGTTCTTGATTCAATAGTTGTTCTTGTATATACAATTACACGTGCTTATATATATATATATATATATATATATATATATATATATATATATATATATATATATATATATATATATATATATCTCATCACATATGATTTATTGAATCAAGAACATGAAAAAAAATCTTTTTCACATAAATTGTATGTGATTAAATACACGATACCAACTATTGAATTAAAAACGCAAAAATTAATATTGTCCACATAAATCATATGTGACTAAATACATATAATCACATGTAATTATATATACCAAATTACATATGATTTATGTGGACAAGATTCGTTAGTTCTTTCTCAATTCAATAGTTGTACTCATGTACTTAATCACATATGATTATATGTATGAAATCATATATGATTTATATTTATAATATTCGTTTTCACATTTTTAATTCAATATTTTTTCTTATGTATTTAATTGTACGTGATTGTATATATTTAATCACATATGATTAATGTGGAAAAAGAAAAAAAAAACTATTGAATCAA